ATCTACGCTATACTTCTTCCTTTGAGTCATTCAATGTAGGCCAACATAATCATTTTATCTGGAATCAATTTATTTTTGGAGCTGGATTTAACTTTCACAACTGATGAGAAATCTGAAATGTTTCATTTATCCATCTCCACAAAACTCCTGCTTAAGCCTCTAAAAGTCCTTACTGGAAAATAGAACCAAATTTCAAAAGGAAGTAGAGAAAAATTACTTACGTGTAATCTCCAGTTTTGTCCTTTGGCCAAACGTGATCCACAATATTAGCTTAATTACTTTCTCCTCAACAAAAACCTCTTTTTGGAACTAATATCACTAAGCTGACTGATCCAGAGGAAATCTGGCAATTTAGATGCTGAGAGAACTGTCTAGATCTTTGCTTTTCCGTGAGATGAACTGACTTTCAGTCCACTACTCATCTGATTTTCTGGAAGGATTCCATTCTCTTTGGAACTGACTTAGACTCACATCACAAACAGAACCCCCCCCCAAAAAAAAAAATTTACAACCCTATAAGAAAAAGAATTAGAAAAGTGCACTTATGTTTGATTTCCACCTTGGTCCCCTGGCCGAAACTGAGCCACANCCGCGTCCGCAGTCGCCTCCTGCAACCTGCTGGAGGTGCCTGAGACTGAAGCTTTTTGACTCTTGAGGGGAGAAGGAAGAGTGACTCTCGGGCACCTCCACCAGTTTGCAGGAGGCAAGTGCGGACTCCGTTTTGCTGAGAAAGGGATTCGGCTTTAGGCTGAGGTAGGAGATTCGACTCAGACATTTGGTAAAGATCCATCACGCTGCCAAAAAGGGTGATGTGGAACGAGCATGGAGGAAGACAACAGCTTCAGACGCCCGTCCCCTCACCTTCGCCTCGGCTCGTACCCACTTCTGAAGCCGATATGAGCAAATATTACCCGATACTCTTATGTAGAAGCCAAGCTATCTGCCACAACAGCACTACTCCAAAGCCAGCCGTTCTGAACGGTAATCAAGCAGCACCTCTACGCACAAGTGGGCATGCGCGTGCAGCCCTGTCACCCCAGAGTTCTGAGAGGGCTCGGGCGGCTCTCCAGGGAGACCCGTGATTGCAGAGTGACGTCAGCAGTCACTAGGCAGACTTAAATTTGGTTCTCACAGGCTTTTTCGTGCCACGGCGACAGATCAGTTTTTTCCTTGGCTTGGCACTGGCTTCACCGGCTTCTTCTCGTTCCTCTCTGTCATCCACGTCCCCTACTCCACATCTATGGATCGGCTGTCCTCTTTCCACACCACCCTTCTTGGCAGCATGATTCATCTTTCCCACATGCCTGCGCCAGATCTGGTAGCTCATCCAAAATCCGATACTCTTTCTCACCCAAACCGAGTCCCCACTCACCTCCTGCCGCCTGGTGGAGATATCCGAACCCTACTCCACATTGAAGTATCTGGTGTACTCTTTCCACATCACCCTTTTTATCTGCAGGATGGATATTTGACAGATGTGCGAGTCTGATCTAGTAGCTCAGCCGAAAGCCGATTCTGTCTCAAACAAACCGCGTCCCCGCTCAAATCCTGCAGCCTGGTGGAGGTGCCCGAGAGTGACTCTTTCCTCTGCCCTCAAAAGTCAATAAGCTTCATCACCCTAGAAGACAGCAGTTTCAGAGGCCCTTCCCCACACCTGGCCCCTCTGCTACTACCCACTTCTGAGGCCGATATACTCGAATTTTACTCGGTACTATTTTGGATAAACGAACCCCTGTACCATGACATCACCGCTCAAAAGCCTCCCGTTCGGAACGGAAACCAAGCGGCAGGTCTAAACACAAGTGCGCATGCGCACACAGCCCAAGCCCCCAAGAGTTGTAAGAGGGCTCGTGCGGGGTCCCCCGTTGACCAATGGTTGCTGACTGACGTCAGCAGTCACTGGGCATATTGAAAGTTAGTTCTCACAGGCTATTGCTTGCCATGGCTACAGATCAGTTGTTTCTTATGCTTGGCACTGGCTGTGCCCCTTTCTTCTTGTTCCAATCTGTCATCCACGTCCTCTCCTCCACATCGATGGATCTGCTGTCCTCTTTCCACATCACCCTTTTTGGCAGCATGATTCATCTTTCCCACATGCCTGAGTCGGATCTGGTAGCTCATCCGAAATCTGATTCTCTTTCTCACCCAAATAGCGTTCCCGCTTGCCTCGTGCAGCCTGGTGGAGATATCCGAACCCTATTCCACGAGGAAGTATCTTCTGTACTCTTTCCACATCACCCTCTTTATCTGCTTGATGGATCTTTGACAGATGTGGTAGTCTGATCTAGTAGTTCAGCCGAAAGCCCTTTCTCTGTCTCAAACAAACCGCGTCCCAGCTCAAATCGTGCAGCCTTGTGGAGTTGCCTGAGGCTGACTCTTTCTTCTGCCCTCAAAAGTCAATAAGCTTCATCATTGGAGAAGACAGCAGTTTCAGACGCCCTTCCCTACATCTGGCCCCTCGCAACTACTCACTTTTGAAGCCGATATACTCGAATTTTACTCGGTACTATTTTGGAGAAGCGAACTTCCATGCCGCAACATTACCGCTCAAAAGCCTCCGGTTCGGAATGGTTACCAAGCCACAGGTCTAAACACAAGTGCACATGTGCACACAGCCCGAGCCCCCAAGAGTTCTAAGAGGGCTGTTGCGGGGTTCCGGGTTGGGCAATTGTTGCTGACTGACGTCAGCAGTCACTGGGCAGAATGAAATTTGGTTCTCACAGGCTATTGCTTGCCATGGCTACAGACCAGTTGTTTCTTAAGCTTGGCACTGGCTGTGCCCCTTTCTTCTCGTTCCAATCAGTTATCCAAGTCCCCTACCCCACATGGAAGGATCTGCTGTACTCTTTCCACATCACCCTTTTTGGCAGCGTGATCGATCTTTCCCAGATATCTGAGTCATATCTGGTAGCTCAGCAGAAAGCGGATTGTCTTTCACACCCAAATGGCGTCCGCGCTCGCCTCCTGTATCCTGGTGGAGATTTCCGAACCCTACTCCACACGGAAGTATCTGTTGTACTCTTTCCACATCACCCTTTATGGCAGCGTGATGGATCTTAGCAGCCGAGCTTCCTTGACCCTATACTTAATTATCTCAGTTTCTCTTATCTATAAACTGGGTATAAGACCTTTCTCTATGTGAACTTAATTTGAACTATAATATATCTATATGCACACACAGAAAAGTGCCCAGATCATAATGTAATAATTCAAAATATTTTCATAATGTGGCACATCCCATATTAAGGAACAGGAAATTACCAGAACTCCAGAAGCCTCTTCTTGTCCCCTCCCAGACACCACTTCACCCCACCCATATCCAAGAGTAATCCCCTTCCCAAAGTTTAATTTTGTTTTTTAACCTGGCTTTGAACTTCATATGGACGAAAACATACTGAATGTATCTTTTGTGCTTGGTTTCCTTTGCTTACAATCATGTTTATAAGATTTATTTATGTTACTTAGTTGTAGTTGGTTAATTCTACTTATTGAACAGTATTGTAATTAGTAAACAGACCACATTTTAATGACCTATTCTACCCTTTGTAGACATTTGGGTTATTTCCAGTTTTTGGCTTTTATATTAAGCTGTTCCAAACATTCTTGCATGTGGTTTTTGATGGACAGGTATGCTTAATCATCTAGAAGTGGCATTGCTGGGTTATAGAATATGAACATCTTCAGCTTTATAGAACTTGCCCAACATTTTAATGAATATTTTTAACCCCACAGTGTAGTGAGAATAAAATTAGGTTGCAGAAAATGCTCAGTATGGTCCTTGGCATATAGGAGTCCCTCAGTACATGTATGAAAATTTAATAAAGGCATACTATTACATAAACTCTAAGTTTGATGATGGATGTATTTCACTATTGCTTGTTCATTTAGGTTGCTTTCATTGTTTTGTTATTTTATATAGTTGTTTTCTTTTGAAAGATTTGCTTTGGTAAATTTCCAGGGTAGGTTGAATTGGATCAAAGAATATGTGACTGTAAGAACTGTCACCCTTAACTGTGGGGCTTGCTGAAGAGCGGAATCAGGAGGCAAGTCTTCATACCATGGCCGGGGGAGAGAGGTGGGAAGATGGGGCCTTGGGGATTTCAGGGAGGAGTGTCTTGTAGATGACAGCAGGGGAGGATAGAATGGAGGATGACTTTTATACATGGTGGTGCATTTTAGGGCAAATAAATATTTAGTCCTTTAGAAGAGAAGCTGGGTAACTGGAAAAACAATGTATGACAACTATTATATGAGGAAGGAGAGAGAAACCACAGGTGCAATGATTCACTTTATTTATTCATTCTCACCCCCAGTATTAGCATGATTAAAACTAAGGGGAGGAGGGGGCTTGGGGTGGGCAGAGGGGCTGGAGAACTGCAGTAGGGGTGTGTCCCTGGTGGGAAAAGGGCCTGGGGTCTAAGGAAGGAGGGGTAAGCCTGGGCCTGAGGGGTAGGTGGAGGTGCCTGGCAGGCCTCTTGGCCTAACACTCTTGCTTGCTGAAGCTCCTGACCACAGGCGAGCTCAGTCTGTCATGTGTGGCCTTGCAGGTATAGACATTATGGCTGTTATACTCTGCACTGGTCATCGTCAGGGTGCTGCTGAGGCTGTAGTTGCTGTCTGTGCTGTCCTGTTCTGTATAACTTTCCACTAGGTCACCCTCTTTAACAACATTGTCTATGTTCCACTGGACTTTGTAATATTTGGCGTAGAATTTGTTCAGAAAGCACACGACAGAGGCAGATCCAGAGTTCAGTTGCTCTTGAGATGGTGTGAAGTTGGAAACAGTCGGATGAGCGTCAGACCCTGAGGAAGGAAGCACAAGAGATAGTGTTTAAATCACAGAGAAGTTCTCCACATGCGTGTTTGTGAATGATCACTAAGTACGTTACGGACAGACAGACAGAAAACAACATGCTTATCCTGTATAATTGTAGCAGTGACTTTCTGTCTTCTTCCTAGCCCTTAAGAGAGCTCAGAATGTTCTGTTTGAACTCTCTGAAGCCATTCAGAGGCCTCTTTGCCTGCTTTTCTGACCTTACCTTTCTTTTCTTCAACTGTGTTCCCTGCCTTCTGTAGTAATCTCAGGGCTTCAGGCAAAGAGATGCAGGCCTCCTCATCTGAGCCCTTCAGAGTTTAGAAGTCAGAACAAGGTCTTGGCCCCTCTATGTGGAAGAAGATAGGGCAGCAGAAGACCTGCAGCGGCTGTTTCAGGGAAAGCCTTTGTTGGCTTTCCTTACCTCTGTGCTTCTCCTAGACTGTGTCATAATGTTAGGTTCCCCCAGGCTTCCTTTGGCTTAGCCAGGCTAAACCTACCCTCAGAGTGGGCCCCGAGCCCTGTATCTACATCTTGGTGGGAGTCAGATCCTTTGCCCTCTTTGCTCAATGCCAGCAGCACCCCCACAAAAGCCTCAGAGTGAGACAATGGCCCTGGCCTGATGGCTCATAACCATATGGGGCAATGTTCAGCCATACCAAGGATGGGACAAGTGTCGTCTTGGCCTCCTACCTAGGAGGAACTGTCTAGCTTCACTTCTGACCTTGAGCAGCTGCCAGATGGCCTCTTGGAAATCCCCCTTTGTGGGGATTCAAACTCCCAGGTAGGAAAGCAATAGTTAAAATAAAAAATCAAGAAACCATTGCTTGAAGAAGTCAACAGACATGTGAACAAGTTTTGATAAACCAACCTCAATGTTAACCAAGTAATCCAACATAAGGCACTGAACATTTTATGTTTAATATTTTTTTTCTTTTTCATTACTATTTTACCCCCAAATAATTGACAGCAAAATCATATAACCTTTGGAAAACAAAGCAGGAGAAATATTCTATGAACATACTTCTATCTGGGTGAATCCTTGGTAGCTTTATATTTTTCATCTATCAGTAAAATATTAAACAATTAGCATATTTAATATGGAAATTATTTCAAGATATTTATTAGCTTTCAATAAAATTTAAAGCTTGTTAAGAGTTTTGTAAAAGGTCCTAAAATAGTTTTAAAATAGTTTAAAACAGTTCAAGAGTTTAGATTTAAACAGTTCTGAATTAGTTTTAAAAGAGCTAAAATAGTCCTATCAATTTGTTGCAGACACAGAATAATCTTTTTAAGTCTCACTTTTGAATCAGGTCGGGTAAACAGCAGCAGCAACAACTAGTTAGAGGTTATGGGATTAAAATACCCAGATTAAAATTTTTCTATCAGAGAATTAAAGTTTTGGAAATATGTTTATATTAACTTTTTATTAATCACACTGATATGATTAGCTATATTGTACAACTGAAATATAATCCTACCCAAAGCAGATACATTTTTCAAAATTAAAAACAAGCCACAAATTTATCTTATTTTTTATCAGTAAATACACCTCAATGATAATGTAAACTCAGTAAAAGTGAATTGTTCAAGACCTGAATGGCCAGATTTCCGGCATTAAGTTTGATTTTTGCTGGTGTGAATTTTCTCTTAACAGTTATACATTTTTAAAAAATTGAGATTATATTATTTAGATAAATTTTATAAGAGAGTATTGAAATAATTATTTATGTCACTTAAAAAAATAACTTTAAGTTCTTTATAGTCCCTTAATGGAAATTTTCATGAATGGGATATAATAATGAATGTGAAGTTTGTTTCTGAACTCTTTAATAAGTCGGTCTTCTCTCGGCTTTCCCCATATTAGCTCAGAGCCCACCGCGTTTTCATTCTCTTTTCACTTGGTGGCAGTATTTGTATCACTGTGTGGCAGGAAGGCCGGCCACACAGTTAAATGGCTAACGCGGGGTTGCCACGGCCCTTAATGGCAAGGCACACTGTGACAGGTGTGCGATGGTCAGGCCACGTAAGTCATTCAATCATGAAAAGAGAACACCATGCAGTCTACACACCACACTAGCTGTGCCACGGCCTTCTCAGCGTTATAAAAATATGGACACGTAATAACTGAGGGAAATAAAAGAACATACACTTTAAAATATCTCCCATTTTCCTACAGACCAGTGGGCATTTTAAAATGCAATTATTTATTCTCTCACAGAAAATATTTTCTTTGAAACGGCTTTTGGGAACAACTGTCTTTCCATCATTATAATAAAAGATCTAGTTTAGTGTAATGCAGAAATTGAATTAAAAGAAAAGCAGTTATCCGTCAAGGCTTTATTCCTATAGGATCTCTCATTTTTACAGTTATCACTCAGTTTTAGATGCTAAAGATGCCACTGTCGCTGATTCTCAAGTGAGCTGCCTCTCCTACATGGCAAACTTTTCTAACTTCTTACTGATCTTTAGTGCATGCTATTGATTTTTATAGACGTCTTACAAAATAATTTATTAGACAAAAGAGAGAAAATAGACAAAAAAACACATTTCCCTACTGTTATGAATCATGCATAAGGAGCAAAACCCAATACATTATTTGTCAAAACTTGATGAAAATGCATTTACTTTTCATCTTTAAATCTCCAAAGATTCCTTTTTAATCTACGCTATACTTCTTCCTTTGAGTCATTCAATGTAGGCCAACATAATCATTTTATCTGAAAATTTATTTTTGGAGCTGGATTTAACTTTAACAATTGATGAGAAATCTAAAATGCTTTCATTTACCCATCTCCACAAAACTCCTGCTTAAGCCTGTAAAAGTCCTTACTGGCAAATAGACCCAAGTGCTTAAGCCTGTAAAAGTCCTTACTGGCAAATAGACCCAAATTTCAGAAGGTAGTAGAGAAAAATTACTTACGGGTAATCTCCAGTTTTGTCCTTTGGCCAAACGTGTTCCACAATATCAGCTTAATTACTTTCTCCTCAGCAAAAACCTCTTTTTGGGACTAATATCACTAGGCTGACTGATCCAGAGGAAATCTGGCAATNCCGATGTATCGAGGGGAGGTAGAAAGTGCTGCGCTCAGAGGCAGAAAACTGAGGCTTCCTTAAGCTCCAGGGCCTGACCTTGTCTTGGTGGACTTAAGTCCGAGATCTAGGTCCATCCCTAACTCACTGGGTACCCCTAAATCTGCTACAGAACCTCTCTGAGCCACAGTGACATCTGCCCAAACTGAGGAATGCTCCTTGATCTACCCACCATGAGGGGCTGTTGTGGGTTTGTGAATATTCATGAATACAAAATGCTATTTTTTTCCCCTGGAGGGCAACTTTCATGATATCTGATTCATTGCAGTGTCTCCGCAGTACCTGTCGCGGGTGCACGACGTGCGCTTCCACCACTTCCCCGTCGAGCGCCAGCTCAACGGCA